TTAAAGTTAAATGAAATATATATCAAGTTGATAATCTATCCGTGAACACGTGAATGCGTACATTGTATGCCAATATTACGTAAATATAAAATAACAAAAAAAGAAATGTAATTTTGTTCCTTATTTCTATCAGTACTTGTCTTACATTTTGCCAAATTTGGTGTTCTTTACTTTACGGAGATAAATAATGTGCATACAACTGTGTTTTGCTAATTATTTCTGAAAGGATCGTTTGTCATCTTTATAAATCGGTGGAGTAATGGATAACGGCTCGGATTGAGGAATCGAAGAGCCGAGTTCGAATTCCAGTCGAATCCATTACATTCACTTACGTGATAATACCCTTGGGAAAGGTATGAATCCTCTTCTCTCCTCAGCTATGGGTAAATAGCAGGACAGACCGAGTTCTATAGCCTTCGATGGCAACTGGTCTACCGCAGAAAGAAATGGCAACCTACTGCAGGGAAAAATCTGCCTCGTCGGTCATGTATCGAAAGATGGATGATCGCCTAAGCGTGTATCACGCACGGAACATAACTAACTAAATTATTTTGTTGATGGCATTAGTGATTAAATTATAGTTAAATTTGAATACCAAATTTAAATTAAACTATCTTTTGTCTTGAAAGTGGTAACCTCTTTAGCATTTCGATATCAGTTTGGGAAGTAAACAATATATCAAATGAGTTAAGCAATATTGGCATATTTAATAAAAAGAAAGCAATTTACTAAGACGAAAGTGTATATGAAGTGGTTTAATCGTTAGAACATCCACAATAAATTTGTGTCCAGTTTCTTACGGCATTTTGTGTTTCTCGGTAGATCTTCTATTATCACAATGTCGGTCAGTTAGTAACAGAAGGGATAAAAACAAAGAAAAAGAAACCAAATGAAATTGGTTAGATTAGATACGCGAAGATATTAAAAAAAATATTCTAAAAGCGTTGCTTCTCCTTGGTGCTTATGTTTTCTTACATTGATGTAAACACTTTATTCTGATGAAATTCTATAGGACGAAACGCGTCACGCGGAAAGATTTTTTTCCACTTTGTCATTAATTTTCCTAATATTTAATAGCAGATTTTTTAAAATCTAACAAATATAAATTACAATATTATATAAAATCAATAACAATCAAAATCTTTTGATCTATCGAACTACATTAATTATAACTTCGATAATACCATATAATGGCATAGAAATCTCTCATGCAAAGAAACGACTGCGTAGCAGAGCAAAAAGGCGCGTGATTATGAAAACTATACTTGGTATACTTGGCTTGCTCTTTATGCCATATTCAGGACTGGTTGACGACTTACGGCACGCGTGCCAGATCAAGCAATTTCCAATGGCACGCAACTGCCAATGACATCATGAAGTCAGAACCAATAACTACTACAACGCAAAGAAGATATTTAACATATACTAAAGTATATATGCTATATATTACTATATAAAATATATTGTAAAACAGGTATATTGATCTTGACTTGTATAAAAATACGTATGCTGAATGATTTTTAAAGTCGGCACTTAGCAAAAGGACGCCGCCCCCGGCTTTAGGATTTAAGAGGATCATATGTAATGGCGTTTTTTTAAATAGTTAAATTGCCATGTCTTATTGGGAAAGTAGCAGAGTGGTTTCCCGTTATCTTGTTATCGTTCTAAATCCAGCATTCTTTTTTTCCTATCCTGGTTGCTTTATAAAGTCACTAAAATTTAAGTTGGTTATGCTATTTATTCTTATAAATAGAAATTAGGAATTCATTTTTTTCTTCCGGCGCCGGAATCTTAACGTAAACCGCTGATTCCGGTTTGTGTACCGGTAACCGCTACACCACCGACACATTCAATGGTTATGCATGGACGTATCTATTGAGACCTATATTTCTGATATATTCACCTTATCTCATTTCTAATATGCCTCTCTCTCTTATATATATGTATATATATATATATATATATATATATATATATATATATATATATATATATATATATTAGTTTTTTTTATTTTATTACTTCAATCGGGTATCTACTAAAACATTTGAAGTAAAATATATATAATATATAATTTTCAGAGTGTATCAAAATCAGTAAAAAAGGAAAAAACTATTCTTAACCGACGTGTTTCGCCCTCTGAGGGACATTTTGGCCTTGATAAAGTCCGTCAGATGGCGAAACGCGTTGGCTAAGAATAGGCTTTCCTCTTGTCTATTTACTCACACACACACACACACACACACACACACACACACACACACACACACACACACACACACACACACACACACATGTGTGTGTGTATTTCACCTTTTCGCTATAGTAATAATACATTGGACAGAACTTATCAGCAATACGGAAATTTTAAGGAAAATGGTATCAAATATCAAAATTGCAATCAGAAAGAATAGGATGAAATTTTTGGCACACATAATGAGGAAGGAGGGCTTGGAAAATTTGATACTCACAGGATATATTGAAAGCGAGAGGAGCAGAGAGAAAAAGTGAGTAACCAAGCTAACAAGTTTATGTAAATGGATGACAGAACAGGGAACGCGAAAAGTAGTAAAAAATATCGGTAAGAGCTACAAAATATAGGAAGTCGTGGAGAGCCATGATCGTCTACGTCTTGAAGAGATGCGGCACATGAATGAAATATAAGGATAATGTCAACACATGTATCCTTACTCGCTTGAAGATTATCCTTTCCGATTTTGAAATTCGTGTTCGAATCTCACCATGGTCGATTTGTCAGGCGGGTGACTTCCTGATGTCTCGGGTAACATCTTCGGGAAGTGCCTGAAAAACCGCATCATGAAATGACCTAAGCCTCGTGAGTGAAGTTGGGTAGCGGAAACAGTTCGGAAGCCGTCTATGGTTATGCTAGCACAAAGTCGTAAGTCATCGTGACTGAAGGTTTGAGCTTACTGCCGTTAAAACTCATGACAGATTATGCGCTCTCTCATATAAGCTGTAACTAATTTCCGTTCAGCATGTTTGCATATAATGCACAAGTGGGTTCTGTAGGCGTTGAACAAACATAAATGTAGCTGAGTAGATATTTGCTACAGGTATTGGCTAGCCGCGCTAGCAGACGGGTGTGCTCGAAAAATGAAACTGATCGGCTATGATGCATGTATGTCTATAGCTAAGTGTATCACAGTCTGGCGAAATTAGCTTTTATTGCTACCTTTTGTGACCAGTATTCTTTGAAAAATCAATATAAAGTTAATAAACAAGGGATATATTTTGAAAGAAACAGTGGAAACTAGTGCTAGGGTAAATTATATTTTTATGATTATTCTGCGATCTTTGAGTAGCAAATTAATTCTTTTAATGGTTTTTACAACAAAGGCTATTAAATGTTCGTTTAAGTGTGAAATTTCAGCTTTCACGTCCCTGTAAAATCGTGAAAGTTTCGGTAAAACCAAGTTTCGTCTGTTCCTGACAAAAATGAATATAGTTTGAATAGAGAGGGTACAAAATAGAACACCAAGTATGAGGTTTTATACTAAGGTCGTAAGACAGGTTGTAAGAGAAAACTAATGCTTATTAAGCAAGAGACATAAAATAGTTCATATAATTATTGTATCTACACAAGAAACTATCAGCGCTTAACACTGTTTCTATCTAATGCGTGTGTGTGTGTTTTTTTATCCAGATTTCCTCTTTCTACAATTATTAATATTTCCCTGTGTCTTCCTGTATTAAAAACGTATCTTTTGATTGAATCGATTTCATTGGGGGCGAGAACGATTTATTAAAACGTTCTGTTGTTGACTTTTTGGAATCTTGTCGAGTTACCGGACAACTTTTATGTCAAAGATTTAGAAGGTGAGAAAGAAATTGTTTTTCTTGGTATTAACTATATTTCATAGCCAACAAAGTTTCGTAGAAAATGAAAATTTGGAAATTTTTACGATAGATCGAAATTTTCACTATTTACATTGTTCGGACTATCATCCCCACCTTTGTTGTCATATTTATCACAACGTTTCGGCCGTTGTGTGCTCCGGCCTTCTTCAGGTGGTTGGAATGTCGAACTGAACCCTTTATTCCGCTCGAAGGACACATGGCACAGTGGATAAAGGCGTTAGTCAGATCCAGTGACAGGATACAAATAGTGTGAGTTCAATACCCGGTTAAGGCGGTGGAGAGGGGAATTAACAGGAGATAACTGATAACTGACAACCATTAGACATGGCACGTGGAAATAGAACAGTCTAATAAAGGGTTCAGTTCGACACTCCAACCACCTGAAGAAGGCCGGAGCGTACAACAGCCGAAACGTTGTGATAAATATGACACCAAAGATGAGAATGATAGTCCGAACAATGTAAATAGTGTACATAATACCTCATCTCAGAAATATAGACAGAAATCGAAATTTTATTGAGGCTAAATTGAGATTTCCAGGTAAAATGTGCAAAGAGATATTAAAGACGGCCTATTTTCTTTTAAAAAAAATAGAGAACTGAGTTGAATATTATAAGATAACACGAAAGGATACTGAAATGATGTTAACCCGATAAACTTAATAAACATATCACCAAATGGAAAACAATTTTTTAAGGGAAGGGAAGGGTTTCTTGGTCAGGCCGAGAACACTGCATTCCCAATATTTTGACATTATACGAATCCATGTAAGTATTATTCTCTTTAAATGATATCATATTTCTGAAATTTAGCTTTGATTAGCTCCGTGTATGTCGTTCAGCTGAGTCAAATTCTAACTTTTAAAATATTAATTGTTTATAACGTGAATCTATTTTTTGCCTTTTTGTTTCTTTTTAACCCCCCCCAAAAAAAAAAAAAACTAATATCGGCAGTGTTTGAAAAATTCTAGCTTATATTTACTTTGATATTAAAAACAAAAGAAACGTAGAAATAATATTAAAGGAAAGAGAGCTAAAAGCCTGACGTCCCTATCACGTATGGCATGGTAGAAGCAAGCAATTTAAGACAAAAAGAGTCAAGATTACAAAGGAAAAATACATTTAAAAAGAAAGACAGAAAAAGAGAGAGAAAGAGAGAAAGAGAGAGAAAGAGAGAAAGAGAGAGAAAGACAAAGAGAGAAAGACAGAAAAAGAGAGAAAGACAGAAAAAGAGAGAAAGACAGAAAAAGAGAGAAAGACAAAGAGAGAAAGACAGAAAAAGAGAGAAAAACAGAAAGAGAGAAAGACAGAAAAAGAGAAAGAGAGAAAGGAAAAGACAGAAAAAGAAAAGAGAGAAAGACAGAAAAGAGAGAAAAGACAGAAAAGAGGAAGACAGAAAGGAAAAGAAAGAAAAGACAGAAAAGAGAAAAAGAAAAGACAGAAAGAGAGAAAGACAGAAAGAGAGAAAGAGAGAAAGGAAGAGAAAGAGAGAAAGGAAGAGAAAGAAAGAAAAAATAACTCGACAGACCCCCCCGGACTGGTTGCCTGTGAGTAAGAAATGGTTGACAATGTCGGTCCTTCTCTTAGCTGGGTCGGTTCAGTGACCTGTGTCACAGCAAAACGTGGTGGGCCCGGTGCGGTAAGGAAAAGACAGTGTGTCTGTGGTAAACGATGACGAAAACAGGGCAGTCTTGGTAGGACAGGCTGGCCGGTAGATAAGTGAGGGGTAGAAAAAGAGTGGAAGGCGACAGGGAAATAATACAGGTAGTTAAACAGGTAGGGTAGATAGGGAAGTAGGTGGGTGGGTAGATAAAGAAAGAAGAAATGGTAGTGGTGGTGGTTGTGTTTGACTCTGGGTGGACGTACTGGTTTTTGGTTGTTCGGTGACAGGACACACACACACGTTGAGAGTGTGTAAGAGCGAGGTTGGTGGACAGGTGAGCCATTCAGTAGCTAACGGATTGACAGGTAGGCTAGCTCGCCCAGTTTAAGTGCCAAGCTGCTGCTGTTACTTATTACTCCCATTCCTTTTATAAGCAAGTGTGACCCACTTACATAAAAGGTGTACACACACACATAGGTGACAACAAGATACAGGTAGTGAATATCAATTCTTCACGTTCAGATTACAACACCAAACGAGGAGAGACTTGTTAATTCAGTGATTAACATGGTGAAAAGAAAGTTTCAAAGTATTAAATTGGTTACTTCACATCACTGACAAATATTGTACTTGTAAAATATGTTATATTTACACGCATAGTTATATGGGCGTATTTGGACAGCAGTCATTCTTTAATGCATGTTTCATTGAACAAAACTGACAAGGTACTTTCCTTTAGTTTTTTTTTATTTAATTTGTCTTGTCTACGTACAGTTGTTTTTTTTTCTGGATTTAATTAATGTAAAAATTGTCCAAAATTTTGTTGGTTCCGAGCGCTTTCGGATAAACAGCTAGCCATTTTCAGGATTAGTTTTTGTTATAATGCTATAATAAATGTTGTGTAAGTGCTATTCTAGATGGTATATAAGTTTCTGAAAGTAGACATATTGTTGGTTTCTTGAATTTTCATAATGATAGGCGTAAATATCCTCCGGTTCATACTCCTCCTCGGTCTTGTGAACAGGAGTAGGGGTTTATACATTGTTTCCTTTTTAGGATTGGCTTTCCGATTCCTTCTCTTTCACTCCCAGCAGCTCCTAGCATCTTAGTGGTATTATTGCTTTGCTTGGGGTGAATGGATTAAAAATTAATAATAATAAAATCTTATCGATGTAGTTGCGTACATTCTATCATCAGGAGTGGCCAGATCTAGAGTCTAGAAAAAAAAAACCCCAAAAACCAAAAAAACAACTAAGATTTAAACAGGCGCATTGCAAAGAGTAGGGCTGGAGGTTCCTGTTCAATCCCTCTTAAAAATAATTTGCTACCCAGCCGAGAAAATGATGTGAGTAAATTTTAGTCTATATTTTTTTTATTACACTCATTCACTGTTATAAAATCGCATTGGTAGCAATTAGAGTCTATGTAAATCATGTCCCTTCACCAGTGACTTGTGGAGGATACTGCTCACCAGAAAATCATTTTACTATTTTGTGAAAATGGACTAATTTTAGTATCCATTTTTTTTTTTTTTTACTCGCACCCCTCCTGGCCTTACACTCAAAACACTGGAGATGTGACTGGAATTTCAATGATAAGTTGCAGAGTACACACTCCTCATTTTCGGAATATTAGCGCGACCTAATTTTACTCCTATCTATCTGGGTCCTGTTGTGAGAAGCCTTTGTCAGTTTTACGATACCCGTAAAATGTAAATGCATATCTCGAGGTAACAGGTGTTATTGTTTACTTGACTTAAAAATGATTCAATCAGAGGACTTCAAAGAGAACCTTTAGACCGTAGAAAAACTATCACATACTATACTCCATGACAAATCAACTTTCTTGTCAAATAAAATCGACGAAATTGTCTCTTTTGAGAAGATCTTGTCGTAAAGTTGATCATAGAGCTACGAAATGAACTGTTCAAATCGTAATGGTTGAAAGTTGGCAATTTTGTAATAATCTATATGAATAAATGCGAAATTGGAGCTAAATTCTCCAACGAATTCTGAAGTTAAATCGTCAAACTCTACTTTATAGTAATTTGAGATTTATTCTGAACAATTTCAAAATTGTGGCACAAGGCCAGGGGAAAAATAGGGAGAGATGGTCTTTATTAGCTCTCCTACTCCTAGTTAAACTGACTCACAACCCATTCATTCAATAAATTTACTCATACACCACAATACATCCATCACCACACAATCATGCATATACCCCAATACTGCATATTCATAGAGGACCTACAGAACTCCCCACGACACAAAAATTTACTAATTTACACACTAGGTATTTACTCTGTCTCGCCACTAAGACGAGTTGTGACACAAGGTCTTTTTAAGGTGGGGACCCGAGCGCGTACACCCAGGCCAGGGACAAAAATTGCCTGTCGGTTGCGCTGGCCTGGGTGCGAGCACCGATCCCTTTCTGGTGCAATGACAGGGCGCGGCCTCGGGCAGTTGTTCCTCACGGCTGGGCACATCTCAGTATAATTTTTCTCAGTTGCGATTCTGTCCTTTGACAGAGTCGCCCCTGAGTGCACTTTACCCAAAGATAGAGATGTAACTGAGAGATCATAAATAATGTGTTACAAACTCCTCAGAGAAGGGTTTGTATTTACTTGACTCCCCACTGAGTCAGGCTTTGACACAAGGACAGTTTTTAACGTGGGGCCCGAGTGTCTTCACTCGAGCCGCTGGTATTAACTGCTCATAGCTTACCAGAGCCTGTCCAAACTAGTCATAGCTGTGATACTACCAGCGCAGGAACGGATTCCTGTGACCGAAAAGTATCCGAATGTGTATACCCCTCAAGAGAGGGATTTACATGGTATTTACTTGACCCCCATACTGAGTTAGGTTGTGACACAAGGTCAATTTTAAACATGGGGACCCGAGTGTTTTCACTTGGGCCGCTGGTCTAAGCTTGTTCAAGCTAGTCAGAGCTAGTCATAGCTGGTCAGAGCCGGTCCAAGCTGGTCGTAGCCGTGATACCACCAGCACAGGGACGGAGCCCTAGGACAGGGAAGTATCAGAATGTGTATACCCCCTCAAGAGAGGGGTTTACACGGTATTTACTCTGTCCCCCACCACTAGGACGAGATGTGACACAAGGTCTTTTTTAGGTGGGAACTGGAGCGCGTACACTCGGAATAAGGACAAAAATTGCCTTCAGCCCACGCAACTCGGTTGCGCTGGACTCGGTGCGAGAACCGATCCCTCCCTCTGGCGCAATCGGAGGTCGCGGCCTCGGACAGCTGTTCCCCAGGGCTGGGCACCTCTTCAGTATAATTTTCTCAGTTGCCTATCTGTCCTTTGACAGAGAAGCCCCTGAGCGCAGTCTGTCCAAAGACAGAGACGCAACTGAGAGATGATGTGAAATTACTCCAAAAGAGAGGGGTTTACACACTAAACGCTCAATATCTGAATTATATATTATTGAGTTCTAGGCAATATAACTTTTCAGGTTTAACTAATTTACATATTGATTTAAAAAAAAGTATATTAATTAACTGTCCTTCATTACTGTTCTTTTATTCGAGGATTGTTTTGATTTTCATATCAAAAATAGTTCTGTTTAGGAATATTGTCTTATATAGTGCAGAAAAGTGTTTGAAATTTGCATTTTACTTGACCTTCAACAAGTCGGCATCTATTTGTAAAACTTTCCATTACTATAACAAGCCTGTCCCTACACCCGACCAATTAACTTCTTCTCTCTTTACAGTCATATTCTTTCAATAAATATATTGAACGTCCAGAACCCCTTCAACATTTCATAAATAGTGAACATTAATCCCATAGAAAAATTATCTGATAACTAGCAGGCTTCGCCCGATCACTAACAATAAACGAAGAATATTATCGCTATCTCCGCATTGAAATTGTGCTTGTAAAATCAACCATCGTTTACTCGAAGATATTTATATTTATTTTGAGCGTCTGGACGTTAAATGGTTTTTCCGTACAGAATCAGAAAGAACTGTATAGGCCAAAAGAGAATTTCATTAATATCTAGAAGAGCAAAGAAAAATGGGATTTTATAAACATTTCTTTGATAAGACCAACTTTTAAAAAAAATGCGATTTTTTCTACTTTATCACTAAGCTGATGATTACTTACGGAACAACTTTGTTATTATTATTATTATTTGAATTTATTAGATACTGATAAAAGGGGGGGAGACTAGAGAAATACTTGTGTGTGAACTGATTCTGTTTCATCACTTATATTAATAAATACATGAAATCAAAAAGTATCTCTATTCAAAGAATAATTATGATTTTCTACAATCGTCATAATGAGATTCATAACTTCTATCACAGCACACACACTACACACACACTACACACTACACGCGCGCACACAGACGCGCGCACACACACGCGCGCACTTTATATACCTACTTAACGTCATTAAGTTCTTTTGGGGAAAAATCTTTAGAGCATGAAGCACAGCTTTGAAAAACTACTACTTTGGTTTTAAGCAAGGAAAACCAGAAAACGTCCCATATCAGATAGTCTCGTGGATGTGTTTATTAATTTAGCCTAATTCTTTCCAGCACGTACCTGGATATCACAGTCCTGTATTCTTTTCTTATTACCCGAGTAGTAAACAAAAAAAAAAGTAAGTTCTTTTTATCCGGAAATCATTCTAAAGAAGTTACATCTTCAAAGCACAGATTTAAAATAAAAAAGGATAAATTTACTTTGATTATTACTGATAAAAATAGCATTTGTATAAAACTTATTGCATGAATAAATAAATAAATAAATGAAGATGTCATGTCCCTTCAGTATGTAGGCAATCGTGGCTCTCTACCCATTCCTTTTTCTTTTATTTTGAATTGCCATGTCTTTTTTTTTTTCGAAAAGATGGTGGCATGGTTTGTAATTACTTTCTCTGCGGTTTGTAATTTGGGAGTTTTCCTTCTATTGGACTGATTGCCATCCAAGGCTAGCGAGCTCCGTCTACTCTACTATTTAACTCATAACTATTTTTATAAATAAGGATTAAATTAATAAAAATAAATTGCAATGCAAATTGTTTATCCGAACCATAGGATTCCGAATTAATGAAGTTCAAATTTTGTTAAGTGATGGATCATTGATATTGGATTGGACAAGGGAAGAAAATTGTGGCATAAACAAAATATTAAGTAGTGGCTTAAACAAATAGAACCAACAAAGCAGCTTCCATCTAGTTGCGGACCATTTGTGAAATTTTTACCGTAATTTCCAGGTTTCAAACAGGAGATAGTTTTCAACTCTTAGGTTTAGTTTTAAAGTTAATAAAGTCTTTCTATAATTCAATTCCTTTATACTCCGGGAACTGACACAGACGCATGCGCACACACGCCAAAAACAACAGCAACAAAAACAAATATTTAGATTTCTCGCCGAACATCAGGACAGACTTCC